CTGGAATCATTGTAAAAGTGTATCAAATGATATAATTACATATTTAAATTTTAAATTGTGATCAAATATACCATATTAGCACAAACTAACAAATAACTAAATTCAATTTATTTAAATAAATATTAAAAAGCATTGTGTTGAATTATGTGCTAATCTCATTATTTGTAATAAAAATGGCAATTAGCTCTAGTTTAATTAATGCTATTCTACGTAATCGTTTATATTGTTTCTTGATATTGAAATGTATTTTCATCAGTTTCTACCAGTTTTAAAGGGAGATGGTAAGAGCCAAATCATGCATGGAACCTAACTTTACTTTTTCATATTTGAAATAATTTCTGGTACTTACAAACTGCTTTTATCGGCTAAGCTAAGGTGTCGCTGAGGATTGCTGGTATCAGAAAACACTACTCTCTAGCATTGAAAAAATATTATAAAATAAAATATAAGAATATTATAAAGACTTAAATTTAAAACAACATACACTTTTATTAGGCTGATCACGGAATCATATTCAATTTCATGCGTATCATATTCAATTTCAATGTGTTACATAACGTTTCTGAGTGAATCATTTAGACTCACAGCGGCCATTTAGAGTCATTTTGACTCAAATCTCAAGGAAAAAGACTATTTCATTGAAATATACGTTGATGATCTTTTATATCGCATCGGCTACTGGCATTATGATATTATATATTATTATAAGTGCATTATGTATTATCATAAGTATATTATGTATTATCATAAGTATTATATCATTACTGTATGATATAATACTTTTAATTAATGAATAGAAGAACTGGCAAAATGTATAATCTAATTGATCTATTTATTATATGCAAAAAAATTAATATTGATAAAAAAAGTTTATTAAATATTGACATGTAATCTAATTATCAATGGAGTGTAAATGTACTTATTTCTTGAATATTAGATACAAATAGATATTATATGATAGGCATAATGATTTTTTTTTTAAATCACTTAATACGATTTCAAACGAAAAAGATAAAATATTTCTCGTAAACAGTTTGTGGTTAAGTTATTAATTACAAGAATTTTTTAAGAATTTCTAAGTAATGGTTTGGAAATAGTCAAATATATACTAAATTAAAAGTATTTGACTTGAGATATCAGAGAGATAGTTAAATAATAATCAAAAAAGAATCAGATTTCAATGTGGTACACATAGAGATATTACCTACTACTACTACACCACACCCATCATTGTGCTTAGAGTTGAGTTGCCCCTATATAGTTTGGAATGATGTGGGTGAGAAGTCTGACTAGGCTCAGCTCTACAACGCTCTACGGACCTACTGTTTAAAGTGGATTCCGAACCACTACAAACATCCATGGCACCGCCAGGACTCGAAACCGAACCGATCCCCACCGGCTTCGACCCCCCACATATAGATACTGGTAAACTACTGTGGAAACACGAAATAGAAAACTGTAGTATAGAAAATTCAAATAAACTTAACCGATTCATTAACCAAATGAGAAAGGTTTAAGTATTGCATTAAAAATACATTTAATCCCATCGATATGAAAATGAGATAAACAAACGATAGTGTAAATTAAATAACAAAGACGACTATTTTAATACCAAATGCTATGCAGAATAATATAATTTTCATCTAAATCTACTTCAAATACAACCATAACTCAGAATAGAATCCCTAGAAGTTCTGAATATTACAAAGAAACATAACTAACTTTGTATTTAGATATTCCATTACTGCTTAGTACAAAGAGCAGGAATGACTGTCTTCGAAAGTCGGATCAGGATGATGAATACTTTTCCCAATAAGAAGATTTAATACAGAAGATGAAGTTAATAGAGACGAAGGGAAAGTACGTTGTTCAATTTGATTGACTCAATGCTCAAGAGTATTCGTTCATTCACCAATGGTAGAAGAAAAGATTCGGTTCAGAGAACGCGTTTTTATTTCGGAAGATGACTTACTTATATAAAGGGAAGGACCGTATTGCTATCTAAGACAAGAAATGCTTTTATTTAGATGGGTTTTATATGGGTTAAAAATTCACTGAGGAGATTTTTAAGAGAATATTTAATATTTCTTGTTATTAATTAAATTTTTTATTTGTGTATAGTTTTAAAAAGAATGGTTTGTTAAAGTTTATAACAATGGGTTACTTTTATTATTAGTGACAAGGAAAAATAATTAAATTGTTTTTGTAAAATTATTTGTTATTGATAGTAATAAAGGTGATAGCAATATTAAAAAAAAAATAAACTTGAAGGTTTAAGGCTTACAAACAAAAGGACTTCAACAAAATTATTTATTTTGTTTTAATGTTTTATTTTCTATATGGAAAGAAGATAATTAATTAAAAAAATCTTCCCAATTTTTGACATACGGGTTTATTTATTCCATTAACATTTACAAAATCAAATTTGAAGATGCAAAATATTGTAATTAATAAGCTTTTTATTAGTTTCACCTGTATGTTTGTTTGTTTGTGTGTAACTGACTCTTTGGGCTCGATTTTGCCCTACTTTAAGCGATCAGATTTAATTTAAACGTTGTAGACTTATCAAGGACCGACAACAATAAAATATTTTGATAAGTTTATTATCTCATCATGATTAGGATCGCCAGGATTAGTGATTTTATTTTAACTTATGAAAGCAATTTAACCCATGTAGAATGAAAGTACCTAAGACATTCAAACCTACGTGGGGCAGTGGCACAATGGATAACGCGCCTGACAACGGATCAGGAGGTTCGAATCCTGGCTGGCTCGACATATTCGCGTTATTTTTTGTTTTACTCACATTTAAATTATTGTAAGAACTATAGTTCCAGTCCTCAGTATTGAGACCTCATTTAAATATTATAGTTTAAAAAACACGCTTTTAGAGTTAATCAAACTAAAAGTAAAAAATAATTGTTAACATAAAAATAAAATTACTGACGAGAAAGTTAAAGTCACTGTTCTAAAAGCGTGGGATGCTCGATATCAATCGTTATAATTTTTCACTAGTTTCATTCCGAAATGCAGAGTTAGTTTAAAAATGTCATACAAAGCACCCCACGCTTTTAGAATAATGACATTAATTTTCTTGTCAGTAATTTTGTTCTTATGTTAACACTTATTTTTACTTTTTAGTTTGATTAACTCTAAAAGCGTGTTTTTTAGGTTTTGTACACACAGCATTATATACACACAAACAAACATATATGCTATATTGGTACCAAAAGCATTGTAAAAATCAATAAATGCATAAGTTTAAAGTATTTAAATAAAATAGAGATTTATATGGATTTTATAGATAAAATCAATATATTTATAATTAAAAATAGGAATATACTATAAAAATATTAACCACTGCGTTACACAAAAAGAAAATTATTGTATTTATCAACAATAGTGAACTTAATAAATGAAATTTGCAGTTAGAATTTTAAAATAACTCTATTGCTCCAATAAAAATTTCTCGTCTTCTTTCTTAATAATTCGCTACTTAAATCTCTTAATGTACGGTAGAAATACTTTTACATTTTAAATGGAATCGTTAAGATATATATTTTTCAGTTTATTTATTTCAACATTTATTAAAATAAATCGAAATAAAAATGCATGTAAGTTAATAATGAAAATTAAACAAGGAAAAGCCAAATAATCTAACAATTTCGAATTATTTATTATTTACGCTGCAAAGTATTTTCTTTTAAGGCTTGTTTGAACTGCTACCAACCTACAAATAAGTCTGTTTATTAAAAATTCATTAAGTTTACGACAGCGTTTTCCTAAACATCAATTGAAGTGATGTTGTTTATAATCTTTTCCAAACTATAAATAATAGAAGTGCTTCACTGTTGTGAAAGCGTTTGCTTAGAGATCTTTGTGGTTTGAAGTTGAGGCTTTAAAGAAAAAATAGGAAGTACCAATTTTATAATTGAAATAATTGTTCAAATGTAACGTGTGTATTATTGATATTATTTGGATAAAAAATTAGCATAAATTTGGACAATTACTAAATACACACACACATATACACATACACATATGGATCACTTTGTACACATTGACTTCTGATCAATTGAATTTATTAACCAGTTTAAAATAGTAAATACGTCACTAATTTCATATCCTTATATAAATAAAAATGAGGATATGGACAAAGTATTCTTTGGAAACGTTTTCACATTTGGGGGCCACATTGAAAAAAATAAAGAAAAATAATATAAAAAAAACCCCTTTCAATCTGACAATCCGATTATCAGTGGCAGGCATAACAATTACATGCAGCTGACATGTTCGTGTGACACATAGATGGCGCTACTAGTATTAAATCCATATGATTTTTAGTTAGCCCTAACCTTCAAAAGGCACGTGTATAAATTTGACAGCTGTTGCACTATATTTAGTATGTGAGTTATAGCTAGTGAGACAACTTTTGTTAGCTTGAAAAAATGGATAAAAAGGAATTTCATTGTGTTTAATAAAGCATTGCTTTTTGGCGAAAAAAAATACTATTGAAACCAAGGCTTGCCTTGATAAACATTATGGGACTTTGCTCCAGGAAAATCAACCGTAGAGAAATGGTTTGACAAATTTAAACGAGGCGAAAGGAGCACGAGGACGATGCACGCATGGACGCCCCAAAGAGGCTGTTACCGATAAAACATCAAAAAGTCCACAAAATAATTTCTGATAACCGTAAAGTGAAGTTGATTGAGATAGCTGAGACTCTAAAGATATCAAAAGAACGCGTTGGACATATCGTGAATGAATATTTGAATATGCGAAAGCTCTGTTCAAAAGTGGGTGCCGCGCAGAGCGCTCACAATCGAAAAACCACAACGAATTGATGATTCTAACAGTGTTTGGAGCTGTTCAATCGTAATAAACCCGAATTTTTGCGTCGATATGTGACAATGGATGAAACATGGCTCCATCATTTCACACCGAGTTCAATCGACAGTCAGCCGAGTGGACTGCAATGATAAATACTAAAAATGCTATAACTCCACTAAAAATGCTATAACTCACATACTAATAGTGCAAATTAGCTGTCAAAAATACACGTAAGTCTTTTGAAGGTTAGGGCTAACTAAAACTCATATGGATTTAATACTAGTAGCACCATCTATGTGTCAGCCTGTGAACTTTTCAGTCCCCTGTTTTGCCCACCATCAAAACATTGACTCTGTGCAACTTATTGCCCTCTTCTTACCATATGCTACTGCTGAACATAAATAGGGCAAAACAAAAAATATTAAATTTATTAAAGTATTTTTTTTTTAAAGTGATAGATATCTTACTTTTACTAAATTGTTAGTTTATTTAAGCACCTCTGTATTGAAATATAAATGTATATTATTTAACAAGAAATAATTTTCATAATATTTATAACTGATAAGGGATAATCTTAAAATGCAACCGTAGTATTTTTAAGTAATTTAACTAATATAAATTAATATCCCAAAATATTTATAAGATTTTAAAAGAAATTAAATGTTTCAAATTAAAGAAAACACAGATTTTCAATTAAAACAAATTAAATTAAAATTATTATTTAATAATTAAAATTAAGGCAGTGTTATACGATCATAACGATGGCATCTCAATAGGAGAAATGCATCAAAAGAAGAACAGCATTCTATTAGAAGAATTTTGACAATAGAAGTATATGAAAAACTTTATATTGAAATTCATATTCAAAAAGTAAACAGTATACTGAATTCTACAGCAGCAATTTTTCCAGTCTTGCACTTAAGGCTCATGAGTGCCCACGGCTTACGAGGGAAGAGTTTAAAGCATTGAAGTTCAATTCCTGTGCCATTGCCTTAAATATGCCACAAGGAGAAGTGTACAGAAAGAAGAATAGCGTCTGTTTTAAGATTTTAAAACGTTAAAAGTGATTGCTACACAATTGAAATTCATAGTTAAATGACAGTGCGGTAAATGAAACATGACTTTCACAGCAGAAAGCCCACCAGTGAAGTAGAAAAGTGTCAAACTATATGACATCTGTGAAAGACGCTCCTAGTCCTTTCAAAAATATTGAGTTGTGACGCTAGAAGTATAGAGCATATTAAAGCCTTTAAAAAGAAATATCGCCGAGTGACTATGAATGCAATAGAATCAAATGCTACTTTCAAATTAAGACATACGCCAAGTGATGTATAGAGCAGTGGTTATTAAACGTTTTTGAAATCGAGGCGCATTTAAAATTAAAAAAAAAAAGGTAGGCGCACATTTTTCAAATTTCTGAGAAGTATATTATAATCGTTAAGTCAAATATTACAAAAAATAACGTGATAAAAATAAAAATGAAAAGCACGTCAATTTTATTTATCCTTGTGTTTATGAGAAACCTCAGCCCGAAGTTCCTAGCGATTTCTTCAATGGTTAGGTATATATTTGAAAGACAAATTCTCAGTTTTTCATCAATGATTTAAGATTTCCTTTCTTTTTGTACCTAATTGTAGTGAGACTAGAAAATCTAATTCACATAAATATGACATTGAAAATTGTAGTAAAACGTTAAAAGCTTTTTGAGATATTGACACGCACTCTTTTTTAATAGAGGTTTCGAGAGAAAATTGCTTTTGTTTATTCCTCAATCCAGGATAAGAACTAGTTCTAGTTGTCATCCAGCGGATATAACAACTAGTTCTTCTACTTCAGTTAAAATAAAATAATAAACGCCACAACTTTCAGAAGATTGAATCTCTTAGCCTGCCATAAAAAAAAAATTAACATTGAAAATGACATAGACGCTGACATTTCTATTAACCAATGATGGAAGTTACTGCTTCTAGTTTCTCAGAAATAATTTTTGGTGCATTATTGCTGTTTGACACTTTTTACATGAATAAAATAAAAAAAAAAAAAAAAGCAAATAGAAAAGTTAGTTGCTTGTAATAAAAACTGTCTTTGAATAGGAAAACTAATAAGAAAAAAACGATATTTATTTTCATATCTGGTCATATATTTCTCTGGAATATTACAGGACGCAGCTGGAAATTTTCTATTGTACACTAGTGTGCTAAGGCGTATCCTTTGAGAACAACTGTATTAGAGATTGCATAGCCAAACAAAAGAATTATTGGTAGGTTCCCCAGAAAAATAGGTTGAAATTCAAAAGTTCTTGGGCAATAAATTATTTCTAAAAACGCTTTTAATATTTTTATTTGGTTGATCATCATTATTTTGAAAAACTTAAAATTTTGAAATATTCATACGTTATAAGATGCCTAAAACTTCACATTGTCCTAAATTCTATTATTTTTAATCACAAATTCGTTTTAAAATACTTAAATATTTCGTAAAAAGAATAACCCACTGAGTATAAATTCTTTTTTATAACAATGGAAAAGAAAACACTTTCAAATTCTTCTTGAGGCGTTAAACTTCTTTTTTTTTTGTCTTTCTTTCTAGTAACAAAAATAACCGAACTATTCCACTAAAGACTTTTCATATCTTTGGTTGAAAGTTATCAAAAGTCTGGTAGTTTTAAAAGATTAAAAACGAAAAGAAAAAAAAGACCCGACCATTTAAACTTAGAAAAAAAGTCATAACGCTTCAAACTTGAAAGAGATGATATGAACTGCATGCCTGAATGGCGAGAAATGATTTTTACAGACGGGAAAAAATTTAATTTAGATGGATTCCAGGCTTCAAACCATTATGACCATGAAACTTTCTCCCATCTGCATTCTTGTTTGGGAATGCTCCATGATGAGACACCGATTCCTTTAATAATAGTTTTCTTAGTGTTTTTATTTAAATAC